TCAGGACAATGCGCGACACCATACAGCAAGAATCACGTCACAAAAGTTCGAAGAACTTGGTTAGGAGAAAATTCCTCATCCACCTTATTCTCCCGATCTTGATCCTTCAGACTACCATTTGTTTCGTAGCTTACAGAATCATTTGGAAGAAACAGCTTTTGTAACACAGGAAGAGGTTTAAACTGACATTTATGAGTTCTTCGAATCAAAGCCAAAAGAATTTTATAGTAATGGAATTAGTAAGCTTGTTAATAGATTGAAGGAAGTCATAGATAATCAGGGAAAATACATTGTTGATTGAATCTGTAATTAAATGTAACATTTGGTCACTTGTTTTCTTTATTCAAAATTCGGACAGAACTTATAGGATGACCTGATAGTATATCAGTTTCATTGCCCAGTACAAGGCTGCAATATCTGTCAATATCTCTGAGATGAGGCATTATGATTACTTACATTGTTTACCTTATTCGCACTGTTACCCTAATCTTCATTGCCATATGAAGATGAAGAGAACAACGGCCTAAACGTTCTAAATATGGCAATGAAGATGAGGATGATAGTTCGAATAATGTAAATAATGTAAATGAATCACGGCAGTCCCAAAGATCCAAATGGAAGAGCTATCAAATTTGTGATTTGAATATCATGCCGGGATGTAAACATATCAACGTAAATAACAGTGTAATCCGATTAAGTCCTAAAGGACTGAATGCGTCACACAAAAGTATTTTTCCACTTTGTCATACACTTTCCCAAAATTGTTCTGAGATATAAAAATATCTTATATATCGTTTTTCCATACATATATAATATATATGAACACTAAGATATAATTGTAAGCACAATGCAAGTGTATGTGTGTGTTAGTATATATATATATATATATATATATATATATATATATATATATATATATATATATATATATTTAGAGGAATCTAAATGGAATAATAATAATAATAAAAAAACGAAAGAATATTAATCTACAACCCAGTGTGTCTAATGATTTTAATTTTTTAATTTTTTTAATTTTTAATTTTTTTATTGTTCAAATATATATATATATATATATATATATATATATATATATATATATATATATATATATATATATATATATATATATATATATATATTAAAGACATTTTATGTTTAACGTTCTTTTTATAGATACAGGTATTTAAGTAAATGCTCTGTTTATAATAAACAGTATTAAATAACATTTACCGGCCTGAATTTATTATAAACAGAGAATTTACTTAAATACTTGTATCTATAAAATGTCTTTAATAAATAAACTGTCGGACTTTTGTCCATTTGTCCATTTCTTATATATATATATATATATATATATATATATATATATATATATTAAAGATATATTTTATGTTTAACGTTCTTTTATAGATACAAGTATTTAAGTAAATGCTCTGTTTATAATAAACAGTATTAAATAACATTTACCGGCCTGAATTTATTATAAACAGAGAATTTACTTAAATACTTGTATCTATAAAATGTCTTTAATAAATAAACTGTCGGACTTTGTCCATTTCTTAATACATATATATATATATATATATATATATATATATATATATATATATATATATATATATTAATTTTGGATCCAGTTGAATTCAAGAATAAAAACGACGTACTACGAAAGATTTTTTGTTGCTTTTGAAACAGATATAAGCCCGACCCCGGAGTCGCCACTGATATATATATATATATATATATATATATATATATATATATATATATATATATATATATATATATATATATATATATATGAATATTTCTCAGAGTTAATCTGTAGAAAAGACAATATTTATAAATATATATGACAATAGGAAAACTGTAGTTATTGCTGACGGGTTTTGTCCAATGTGGACTTTCTTAAAGCAAAAACGAAATGAATTTAATTAAAGAAAATAACTAATAATAACAAAAAAGAGAATTTCTTTTACTTTGAGAAAGTCTACATTAGACGAAACGCGCCAGCAATAACTACAGTTTTCCTATTGTCATTTATATATATATATATCTCCCCCCCCGACACATACATATATATATATATATATATATTATAATTTTTGTCATATAGACAAAAACAGTTTACTAACTACAAAGATGCAACTTCGATTCGGTGCATTTCAATTGCACCTCGACTGGTGTGAATCAAAATTGGTTATGAACAATTCTGCTTATAAGCTGGCGGTGAACATTAGAATTTATTTATTATTTTCGTTCTCAATGCATCGGATATATATATATATATATATATATATATATATATATATATATATATATATATATATATATATATGAATATTTCTCAGAGTTAACCTGTAGAAAAGTCCAATATTTACAAATATAAAAACAAAAAAACGAAATGAATTTTTAAAGAATGTTTCGTCCAATGGACTTTCTCAAAAACAGAATTTCATTTAATTTAATTTTAACTTTGATAACAAAAAAGTCTATTTTTTACTTTGAGAAACGCGCCAGTTAAAACTACAGTTTTCTTATTGTCATTTATATTTGTAAATATTGTCTTTTCTACAGGTTAACTCTGGGAAATTTTCATATATATATATATATATATATATATGTGTGTGTGTGTGTGTGTGTGTGTGTGTGTGTGTGTGTGTGTGTGTGTGTGTGGCGACTCCGAGGTCGGGATTATATCTGTTTCAAAGCAACAAAAATATTTCGTAGTACGTCGTTTTTATTCTTGAATTCAACTGGATCCAAAATTAATTGTTTTAACTCCGTGTTTCAGAATATTGACTGAAATACACTTCATTGATATTGTTCATAATAAAGAAGAAAGAAAGAAAGTAAAAAAAAAGAATGTAATGAAATTAATGTGGCTAGTCGGCTGCGTAGATCTGTGCCCTATCAAAGCTTGAGGCATACTTATTAGGCAATATGTTCCTTGCTTTAATTTTATAAATAATCTTTTAAAAATATCTAATGACTTGTATGGCTTGTTTTTCAATGAAGATGTTTTTATTTCAATTTATTCTTTTCAAATGTCAATTTTAAAGAATTTATTCCGTACTGTATAAGGTTATTTAACGGAATCTATCAATTGAAAAAGGACAAATTAAATTTAGCTCGACTTAAAATCGACGAAAATAAAAGTCGACTTTAATAAATATAAAGAAAAATATTTAATAAATAAAAGAAAGCGGCAGCCTTAAATCAACGACTGGAGGGTTGGGGAAGGAGTGTGACTGGGGGTGGTGTATAGGAAATATGATATCAGTCAACTATTCTTATCTCAGTGATTGATAACCAGGCTATAAAACAATAAAAATTGGAAAGGGAGCAGTAAACAGACAAACATATCAAAGACTTTGTCATCATTCTTTTTTCTTACAACTCTGGAAATTTTTTTAAATGAATGTTTATTTTTATAGAAATATTTCAATTAATATTAAAATACTGTCATATACCTACTTAGGAGCACTAATGGGTATGTCCCGACCTACATAAATACGTCAGACATTATTGTAAATGGGGGATAATCTGCTGTCTACACTAGCAGCGTGAGGTGTCACTGTGGGAAGCTCTTGCCCTGTCGAACTTTCTGTCTTCGGGCAGAGAGAAACCCAAAGGAGTCTCGTTCGGGGAGGTAGACAGATACCAGATATCACATATGCTGGATCTACGGGTAATTTTTGCTCGAGCCCACGGGCTCAGATTTCCTCACATTAATTTTGGTCTTGTGCCACATCCCACTTCGTGGTGGGGCAGGTAAATATCGTAATATGTTGTCTAAGTAGTCCATAACTAGCAGTGGTTTACCTACTTCACGCCGCTGGCGAGTATTTCACTTTGTTGATGTTATAAAGATTATCATTTCATTTCCAACCTCCGTTTTGGCTATTCCTCATTCAGTAACCTTTTCTAGGTTAGAACAAATACCAAAATGTGTGTTTTTTAATTTCATGCACAGAGATTATTTTAAATTATATATTTTAGTTAGAGTAAAGGAATCATTTCTAACCCTACCAATAATATATTTTGTTAAAGATTGTAATGAGCCCGACAAACATTGTTGTTCTAGAGTCGCGACTGGCATATATATATATATATATATATATATATATATATATATATATATATATATTAAATATATATATATATACATGTGTGTATGTATGTATGTGTGTGTGTGTGTGCACGTGCGTGTGTGTATTTGAGTATGTGTGTTTTTATTACTATAAAATTTATATTTAAAAGAATCTTTTCTCAAATACGAGTACTCTTGAAACATATAGTTTTTAGTAATAAGAAATAATGGCGGTTTTAAAATATATATATATATATATATATATATATATATATATATATATATATATATATAGTTTGTATGTGTGTGGTGCGTATGAATGTTTTAGCGTGCACATTCTTGTACGTTCGTGTATGCTCAATGCACACAAAAGATCTAGAAAGCAAGCATCAAACATAAAATATACTGTAGTATGCACACAACACACACATAAACACAGATACACACGCACACACACACACGCACACACACATATATATAGAGAGAGAAGGAGAGAGAGGGAGGTAACGTTTGTATATTACGTTTATATATATATAAAAAAACATACACACCAATGCAGGCAGACGTATAATCATACATTCAAAATTACACATGTGTCAGCATGCGTATTAACAGAGATAAACATATAGACACATATACGCACATGCTCATCTCATAAGAAGCCATGACAGAAACACACGCACGCGTGCATACACATGCATACAATGCACATATGAATATACACATCCAAACGCATAATCACAGATATGTACGCTTACCCTCCCAACCGATGTGCCGCCCGCCTGTCCACTCAATAAGTCACTTATTCACTCGGCTCCTTATGGCGACCATATGTTCGACGGATCAACTCCTTGTCATTTCTCTCAAGATCCTTTTTACATTTTTGCCATTTCTTATTCTACTTCAGAATCTACGCTTCTCTACGTTTCACTCTTCTCCTTATTTTGCAATTTCTTTCTTCTTTTTTTCTTCCTTCTTCTTCTTCTTCTTCTTCTTCTTCTTCTTCTGTTGCTACCGATGATACTTTTTTCTTCATTCACTTATTTCCTTTTCATCGCAACCATTTTTCTTTCTATTCGTCTCTTGCCTCTTTATTCCACTCCTTTATATTTCTTAATATATCTATCTCTGTCTTCCTTCTTATTACTTTTCTCTCTTTTCACTATCTCTTAATATCATTACCTTGCTGTTCCTTTCTATTATTTTCCTCTTCTTTTTTTTCACTATCTTTAATATCTGTATCTCTCTCCTCGTTCTATTTTTTTAATCTCTTTATCTTCCTCTTGTTTACTATTCTTTTTCTCTCTTTTTCAATGTCGCTTAATATTTTCATCCTTCCTTTTCCTTTTTTCTTTTCTCTATCTTTATCTTCCTCTTCTTACCTTTTTCTATTCTCTCTTTTTTACTTTTTATCTTTCTCCTTTTGCCTTTTCCTTTTCTCTCTTTTTCTCTCTATTAATATCTTTATCCCCCTCTTCCTCCTATTTCTTTCTCCTCTTTTTCACTGTTTCTTAATATCATCGTCTCGTTCTTCCTTTCTCTCGTTTTCACTGTCTCTTTTAATATCCTTATCTATTTCTTTTCTCTTCTTTTCCCTATGCCTGTCATCTTTATGCTTACCCACAAATCCTTCTGTTTCACCCCCATTTTCTTGTTTTGTTCTTTTCCATCCACGTTCAAAAAATCGCAAGGACACATACCACGGCAAACTTGAAAAACATTTATCCAATCACACACTCAATTCTACGCAATCTTGCACATATAGTTATGCGTGGCATGACTACAAAAGCAAAGGCACACATAGGCTTAACTAAATACTGAGCATCTTATTTTTACCGCCATTTTCTGCTCCCTTCCAATCATACACAGACCAACCCCCTGTTCTTCTCGACAATCCGTCGCTTTTCCCGAGACCCCATAATACGTCATACCTAACTCACCCACCCGTTAACAATTTGTACTGCTCATTAAAGGACACTGATATTATTTTCAAGTGAACCAACGCAAAATACAAATCAGATATTTTTGTTTGTTTGTGGAAAATTGGCGCGCTATGGTGCCGACATCACCGATTGGTTCGAGTCTTGGCCAATTAAGAACCTCTTATAACAATCACACAAGCATACACGCCGCACGCTTGTACATTCTTGTAAACGTTGATCTTAAACTAATGTGAACACACGCTGGCTTTTATGCATATAAATGTATATGCACACATATACGAATATGTGAACACAGAGACTTATTTTTACTTAACATAGACACGCACAATTATAAACCAATCGTAAATATATAGACAAATATATTCATCTATTTTAGCAATATGAAATCTTACAACGATTTTATACATATATATGAAATATGTACACACGTGTATGCGCATATATACATTTTCATACATAGATACATGATGTAAGTCTAGATATGTGTACATACATATAGAATTCTATTATATCAGTATGTAAACTTGAAGTTTTATGCATCTATACGCATATGGGAAGTATTACAGTGAACAAATCTAAGTATTTGTGTGCACAGATGAAGCAGGCGTGTGCATATGTATAAAATGAAGTCGGTCTTTTACAATATAATAGGTAGATGCGCGTTCCTGAGCACAATCGTCTGCTAGCATCGATAGCTAATCCCTGTTGCAGATACCTGTTCAGCGGTTATTGTAAAACTCTACCGTCTGTACATTAGATGTAATTAATTTTGTATCTGTGAAAACATAAACTATCCATCAAACAGAAAAATTCAGAGTAACTCAGAAAGGAAATGCTGAAAAAGTGATTACTTCTGGTCGAAGAGTTTTCTTCTATGTACTGTGTCCCTTCAGGGCGTTAGCGATCATGGCTCTCCACAATTTCCTGCCTTTTGTAGCTCTTAATAAATTTCGTTGATTTTTAATTCCTCCTAATCCTTGTTCCGTCATCCATTTACTCAAACCCTCTAGGTAAGTTATGCGTTGTTTCCCTTTGTCCAACTTGCCCTCAATCTGTCCTGTGAGTATCAAATTTTCCAAGCCCTCTTGCTTCATTATATGCTCTAGAAATTTCAAATGTATCTTCTCGTCCAATATAGCCCTTAATAAATTTTATCTTTTTGTTATCTCTCCTAAACCTTGTTCCGTCATCCATTTACTCAAACCCTCCAGGTAAGTTATGCATTGTTTCCCTCTGTCCCTCTTGCCTTCAATCTGTCCTGTGAGTATCAAATTTTCAAAGCTCACTTTCTTCATTATGTGCCCTAGAAATTTCAACCGTCTCTTCCCGTCCAATATAACCCTTAATAAATTTTATCTTTTTGTTATCTCTCCTAAACTTTGTTCCGTCATCCATTTACTCAAACCCTCTAGATAAGGTATGCGTTGTTTCCCTCTGTTCCTCTTGCCTTCAATCTGTCTTTATGTTTCTTCAGCGCCCACAGAGCCGAAATACTATTTATACTTACAACTATGCTCATCTTAGTTCTAATTTCTGTGAGAAAATGCATAAGCTGACGTGATCAATAACTCAACAATGTCAGTACACTCAAACACTCGGTCACGATGACTCAACTATTAATGCATTCCGTCTGGTGGATTTAACACACAGAGCTTGGCATAGTCTTCAAGCAATTTCCAATGATGCCGCATGGTGAAATCTGCCCTAACTAGATATTAGACTTACCGCCATATCACTTTGAAAACTCCGGTTCTCGTACGATCAACGAAGTTAAACAACATCCAGCCTGATCAGTATCTAGATGGGTGACTGCTTGGGAATGCCAGGTACGAGTGGTGTAATGAATAACGGCTCGGGGTTGGAAATCGGATAGCAGAGTTCCAATTCCAGTCGGGTTCGTTATATTAACTTACGCGCAAATACTCTTGGGAAAGGCATGAATCTACCTCTTTTCTCCCCAGCTAGGGGTTAATTAGTAAGACTTGCATCAGTAAAAGTCATTATTATCTCCAAAACCAATCTTACACTCTAAAAATATTTCCTGGCTTTAAGGAATCTGCAAAGGGTTGATAAGCTGTAAAGAATATTATTAAGAAGTTGCTTCATCAGCCATGGTTTGGATTCGAACCCGTGTTTCATATCCAGAATGCTATCATTCTAATTTTTACAAATTATGCATTCTTACGTTAATAATAAGTTCTTCTATGAAACATTGAACTTATTCCTTTTCAAATTGCCATCCATAAGGTCTTTTACGGAATTAAAATTTATTCAATGTAAACTGCTTAACTTGAAACTGATATATAGTCCCCTGCAAAGGAGTTTTTCGAAATCCTATAATTTTCACACAACTTTCTAAAATATATTACCAGTTGATTTATAAGGTCTTTGATGGATGTTCGTAAAAAAACAAAACTTACTCCTTGCATATAAATTTTAGTAGAATTTTGAAATTATATCAAGGTTAGACTTATTAATTGTTTATAATTTTGTGCATCGATTATTTAGGTATTTAATATTAGATTGGTAAAAAACGTTATTTCTGTGATTGTCGTAAGTCGACATTGAGAGTCTTTTTTCATAACTGACTTAAAAAAATCTACTTTTGAATCAAATTAGTTTAAATTATGACGACATTTGACTGAATCGTAACAACTGCATTTTTAAATTATCAAAATTGAAGAAGGAAATAAATAATATCTTCTACGTATTATTTTTTATTTAAAGAAAAGTAAAAACAAATCCACCCAATCAAAATAAAGATATGTGCCATTCATAGAAAAGTTCGTACTCTGGTTTCAGAACTGAAAAGAAACCAAGCCACCAAGCCAATTCAGAGATAATAGAGAAAGGAAGGTGTGGAGAAACATGACCGTCTACGTTCTGAAGTGTATAACCTTTAGTTATTCATTAAATAACAGAGTAGATTAGACGGTCTAACCTTGAGTGGCAGTCCATCTAGAATGTCATCTCTGAAGTCCAAACAGAGGAGTAAGCAATAAGAAAACATGCCACTATCTTAGAAGTCAAGGCAATTTACAGACAATAAAGATAAAAGATTCCGTAGCAAGTCATGATCACCTACTGTACTGTGCGGCATTCACCCTGGGCGGATTGAGCCGGCTTCTTCTTGTTATGAGAAGATGATTCTTGGGATAAATTACACAAGTAGGGTACCCAGGCCTACTTGGATAACGTTCTTGCTTGCCGCGGGGTTCCCACAGACGCAGAGACAGGAACGACCAGAAGCCGCCGGTTACCGATGCAGACGCTCCTTGGATTTTCACCAGAGCCCTCGTTAGCCGGCGTGTGTGTCAGACCTGTCCGCCCCTACCAGGAACGAAGTTCCGGGCGGCATAGCTCTGACACTACCGTTTTACACCCCCCCCCCCACCGACTGTGAGGTAAGGGTTGAACTTTGGGGGCTTACAGTACCAGGTGTTCCCAAGCGGTCCCCCATCTAAGTACTGACCTGGCTCTACGCTGCTTAACTTCGGTGATCGTACGAGAACCGGTGTTTCAGCGTGATTTGACCGTAAGCTATGATCACCTGAAGGGGCATATCTTTAAAAAATAGGTGATCGGGCCAACAATGGCTTTCAAACTCCATACAGTGGATTGCTCGCTAAACAATACTCCAGTGACAAGCAGACAGGCCGAAGTAGATAGCGATCAAATCTAAACATACATAAGAATCGTCAACGAGGATGTTTGGAAAATACCTTTAAGGTTAGGGTTAGGGTTGTAAAAGTTAGAGTTGGTAGGGTTAGGGTCAGGTTTTATCAGCCCAATTCAACTCGCAAGGGCTTGATCAAACTTTAAGCATCCCGGGATCGTCTGTCCAGGCCGATATTATAACTCACCTACTTTATAAATTGACCATAATGAGATTTGAATCCAAGCTTCACACTCCAAATACTAACGTTCTAACCGGAATATACAACTGAAAATGAATCAGCTGAAGGTCATATTAACAATATTAAGTATACGAAAAGAATAAATTATCCGAACAATATTTGGCGTGTCACCGTCTCTTCTCGTAGACATTATAACAACATACTGTTTATATTATAGTACTGACGTTCATCTATTTATGATTACACGACTTGGAAAGGGCAAAAAAGTCACTAAGACACAAGGGGTTACTGGGTGCGGAAGAATTAGGAACAGAAACATTAATAATGAGCGGGAAGAGGAAAGTGCAATTAGGTGGACAGCAGATAGCGATTGACATTGCATTTAAATGTTTGCAGATTAAAGTTGGCTGGAAAGCATGGAGCCAGAAGGCGGTCCCACAAGCAAGAAGTGCGATAAAAGAAACTGTTAGCATAGAATTTACGGTTATATCTTGCCAGCTCAACTGTAAATTGATGAGATCTCGACGCCAGTTCAGGTCTGCGCTTAAATTCAAGAAGTCTAAGTAGCATAGTGAAGAGCTCATTCGAACAATTACCATGAAAGTATTTATATAAAAGACACAGAGAGGCAACTTTATGCCGGTAGGAAAATAACTGAAGCCGAGATGCCAGATCAGCACGTTTGCTGTTAATATGTCTTTGAAGATAAAGTTGTACTTATTCATGATGAATTAAGCTACATTAGATAACCTTTTGATTTCTGTGGTAGTTCTCACTGAAGAAAGGTTCAAGTCTAAGTAAGAATTTATATTTCGAATGTTGATTTTCAGGGCAGACAGGCCATTATTCGTGGGAAACTGTCACAAAAATATTTGAACCACCAATTGTTCCTGTTTCAGACGTACTTAAACTGAACTCAGTATGTGTGCCTGTATATGTGTGTTAAGAAAAGAGATGGGATTATGCTTTTTAAATAAAAATAATTAGTTATTCGCTGCTGTTGATATCTTTGGTCAGTCAGTTATGTGCCATGCGTGATACACGCTTAGGCGATCATATATCTTTCGATACATGACTGACGAGACAGATTTTTTTTCCCGTAGTAGATTGCCATTTCTTTCTACGGTAGACCAGTTGCCATCCAAGGCTATATAGCCCAGTCTGTCCTGCTATTTACCCATAGCTAGGGGGGAGAAGAAGAGGATTCATACCTTCCCCAAGAGTATTTGCACGTAAGTGAATATCAGTCAGTTATGTGCCATGCGTGATATACACTTAGGCGATCATGTATCTTTCGATACATGACTAAAGAGGCAATTTTTTTTTCTGTGGTAGACCAGTTGCCATCCAAGACTATAGAACCCGGTCTGTCCTGCTATTTACCCATAGCAGGGGGAGAAGAGGATTCATATTAGCATGTAAGTGAATGTAATGCATTCGACTGGAATTTGAACTCGGCTCTCCGATTCCTAAATGCGAACCGCTATCCATTACTCCACCGTTACAATACGAATTAGACTATGTACTCAATGAAGAATAAGCTAACTGTTTAGTAGCTAACATAGTTGACATGTTAATCGTAACTATATGACAGGTATTTTTTTAAGCTTCGTACGAATACAGACGTTTAGATTGTAATAATGACATAATTTGCAGAAATGTCGTCCACATATACAAGGACATTTAACTGAAACTAAGGTATGCAATTTAACACACAAATAACCCATTATAGACTTACACACGCTCACACGATTCCATCCTCGTCCCCCTTCCGCATCCAATTTCCCTCTCTCTCTCTCTCTCTCTCTCTCTCTCTCTCTCTCTCTCTCCATTACACCCACATACTTACGTATAAAGTGTTCATGGGAAGAGAACAATTCAATGAACAATTACGCAATATTAAACGCAAAATCCAGGCCACGTGCTGAAACAATGTGCCCGTGATGTTGGACGGTATGGCGACAGCTATCAGAACAATGTCGCCTCCGAATTTGATTCCCTGTAGATGGCGTGGCTCGTTAGTTTGCATGACGAATTGTTCTAATAAAGCTCAATAAATCAAGCAAAAAGAAGGAAAAAAAAAAACAATGAAAATTACAAAAGAAAAACCACATTTTGCAGAAAAAAAAACATGTTCATTTGGTCGTGGCCTTAATTTTATGCGACAAAAATAATGTTTATAGGTATAATATTTAAACCTTAATGTGATTTTTTTCTTCTTTTATCAGAGGTGGGATTGTTCCTCAATTGTCTCACACAATTTAATTCATATTACACACACACACAGACACACACATAGACACACACACAGTGAGAGGGATAGCTAGATAGAATGTATTCACATGAATGTAAGCGAAAGTACACACATACATACGCACACATACTTATACACTAATAATATACATTTGTGAGTACCTCATCTCATTTTCATATACATTTGTGAGCGTGTTCACATAATTACCAGCTATAAATCTTTCAAAATTAGGGAAGGAAACGTGTGGGATATCACCGGAAATCGACTATACAAGTTTATCGAACATCGTCGATTTCACACATTTCAGTCGGTTTCTTTCTTTCTTTCTTTCTTTCTTTCTTTCTTTCTTTCTTTCTTTTTATCTATATCTATCTATCTATCTATCTATCTATCTATCTATCTAATCCTGTTCATTATCTTTCTATCTATCTCTATATCTATCTATCTATCTATCTATCTATCTATCTATCTATCTATCTCAGTCTGTCCATATCTATCTGTCTACTTTCATTGTATATATTATACACATTTATGTGTTATGTGTTTTGTATGTCTTGGGCGGGTGTTTGTATTTTGTAAATTTGTATAACTTTGTTTTTGTCTCCTTGTATTTTGTTTACGCAAACATCTAAATAACAAATCTTTGATATTGAATTGCATTTATAATTTCTTTTATTATGTACGTATATGCACGCGTTACACATTCGTCGATGCGATACGCGTACACGTGTCGAAAGTGAAGCGGACGACTAACTTAAAGAGAGAGAGAGAGAGAGAGAGAGAGAGAAGGACATGAACAAACAATGACGAAATCCATAATACAAGAATATTACAAAAAAAAAACCGACCGGAAGAAGAAAAGGTCAATAATGGTTTACAATTAAAGCCAAATAAACGTTATTGCAAAATGAATCTTCCTCGCACGTGTCTAAATAGATGAGATTCATTTTTAGGAGCATTTGTAACTTTATCTATTAGACGAACATAAATTATATAGTTACTTCAGTTATGAATATGTTCTGCCGGTGATGACTTATGGAAGTAATACAAGAGAGCTGCAGAGACTCGTACAATGACCCAACATAAAATGGAATGAATCATGCTCGGCATCACCTTACAAGACAGGAAGAGCAGCACATGTATTCGACAGCAGATTGGACTGAAAGACATAATTGAGACCGTCAAGAAGAAAAAAAAAACATAGATAATCTGGCCACGTCTCTCTTCTCAGTGACAACACGCGGTCTTTAAAAGCGATAGAGGGGACACTAAGCCTGTGGAAAAGAGCTAGAGGGTGGCCAAAGGCAAGGTGTCGCGACGATCTAATCCGATACCTCAGCCCCACATGCTCAATTATGGCCAGAGACAGGAAATGGTAGAGATCAACAAAGGAAGGGATCCTCTATAAGGAGTGAGAAAACCCTAGATTTAGATTTGGATTGGTCCAGTAATAAACTTTTTTTTACAATTTCTAAGGTTAATTATAATCAGGATAAATTAGATACTAAAGTATTAGTCTTTCAATGTTATTTCGGTCATAAGTACAGAATAGAATCATATTTCTTCTGATTAAAAGTAAGTCATGTCCCGAGTATAAAGGATGTTTCTCTGCTAAGACGGTAACTACAGCGATTTTGGCAATTTGTAAGTACATCAATTTAAATAGCTGGAAAGTGTTTTAACAGAGGACGAAATGTGCAACACCGAAAACCGATAGCGCATTGGGATAGCGAAAGAATACTTCAAGAAGCTAAATAAATTATTAAGAAAAAGGAAAATTTCCTTAGAATCAGAGAAAAGAGTACGAAACTGTTATGCAATATCAATCCTCTAATATGGTAGTAAATACTGGGCTATCTCCACACAGATTAAAAAACTTGAGGCGATAGGAATATGGTTCTACAGAAGGATGCTAGGAATAATATAGATAGAACATGCGAGCAACGACAAAGTTTTAGAGAAAATGGAAACAAAAAGGACACTTATGCTTAACATCAGGAAGAAACAGTTGAGGTTTCTAGGGCACATAATGAAGAAAGAGGGCTTGGAAAATTTGATACTCACAGGACAGATTGAAGGCAAGAGGGACAGAGGGAAACAATGCATAACTTACCTAGAGGGTTTGAGTAAATGGATGGCGGAACAAGGTTTAGGAGAGATAACAAAAAGATAAAATTTATTAAGGGTTATATTGGATGGGAAGAAACCGTTGAAATTTCTAGGGCACATAATGAAGAAAGAGGGCTTGGAAAATTTGATACTCACAGGACAGATTGAAGGCAAGAAGGACAGGGGGAAACAATGCATAACTTACCTAGAGGGTTTGAGTAAATGGATGACAGAACAAGGTTTAGGAGGAATTAAAAATCAACGAAATTTATTAAGAGCTACAAAAGACAGAAAATTGTGGAGAGCTATGATCGCTAACGCCCTGAAGGGACGCAGTACATACAAACTCTTCGATCAGAAGTAATCACCTTTTTTCAGCATTTGTTTCTGAGTCATTCTGAATTATTCTGTTCGATGGATAGTTTATGTTTTCACAGATACAAAATTAATTACTAAAGTTGAATATTTAGCATTTGCTTCAGAGATAAGTAGTGATTAAGATTTACAATTTATTTATTTACATATGGACTATTGTCTCCATATTTCTTGTATCGCAACATGCCATATTTCTTTATTCTCTAAAATATTCCCTGGTGCCTATTATAATAATTATTTGAAAATAAATTCTTTTTCTTTGTCAGGGTTTTACAATAAGCACTTTTTAAAACCTTTTCTCTTTTTTTTTAATCAAAATCACCCCAAGCGAGGCAGTATTGCAACCAAAACACGAGGGGTTACAGGCTGTGAAAGAATTAGGAACAGAAACATTAGTAATGTGCAGAAAGAGAAGAGAGTAATTAAGTGGGCAATAGATAGTGATTGGCATTGTATTTAAATTTTTGAAGATTAAAGTTGGTTGGAAGGCAGTTCCACAAGTGAGAAATGCGAGAAAAGAAACAGTTAGCACAGAACTTACGGTTACATCTATCTATCTCAACTGTAAATTGATCTGATCTCGAGGCCAGTTTAGTACTGCACAAATTCATAAAGTCTCTATACCATAAACAAAGAGCTCATCGGAACAATTACCATGAAAGTATTTATAGAAAAGACACAGAGAGGCAGCCTTGTGGTGATAGGGAAATGACTGGAGCTGAGCCGCCAGATCAGGACCAATAATATTGCAGATTCTTCTCTGGGTCTTATCAAGGAAATCAATGTAAATAATAGGGGCACCGAACAGTAATATTCTAAGCATGGACGAATATAAATATGTAAAATAGATTCTGGAGAGAAAAATTGTCTTTCCCGACATAGTGAACCGACTTTCTTAGCAGCTGACGTAGCAATGGATTCAATATAGTCTTTCCAGTTCATGTCAGCTGAGAACGTGAGCCTGGGAAGGTGCAGGGAGTCACTTTCCTGAAGGATAGCATCAGCCATGATGATGGAAGGCAGCAAGGGTCTCTCAGATGATTAATGGAGAGAAATTTAGTTTTAGAGGCGTTAAAATTACCATAGCCATCTTTTACTCCAGTAGGTCGTTTTGGACATCGGCTGCCATTTTCATCTTGTGAGATTGATAAACCTTTTACTGTTGATGCTGAAGTAAATTATTTTGTCGTCAGCGTAGCTACCAAGTTGAGAGTTGATGTCATCAGGAAGGTCATTAATGAAAATGAAAAATAGAGTAGTGCCAAGGGTGGATCTCTGGAGGACACACGCGTTAGTACGATAGGATCTAGACGTGTGGCCGTTCAGGATAATTCACATTTCATGATTTCATAGGAAAGACTGGATCAGTTCAAAAAAGTGTCAGGAATTTTCAGTTTGTGTAGAATACCTGAATGCCAGATATTGTCAAAGGCTTTCGAGATGTTCAATGCAACAGTCCAGGCTTCGCTTTTTTTTCTTTTTCTTTTTATCTAGAGCATGATAAACGCTTTTCTTAAATATCACTATAGATTAAGCCCACAAGATCACAAACATATAAATATAATTTTTTATAAAACGTTGTAAAATATTGAGTGTCGCGGAGAGGTTCAGTCCGCTATGTAAAATCAGTATAAACTGATTTCTATACGCAAACAGAAATAAATATTGGGTTGGTGCATAATTATCAGGCGTTTTTAAACAATATTTATTATGTAAAAAAGAGATATTGCAACTCAGCAATAACATTTTTAAATGATTATTCCTGGAGCGTAGGATTATCGACACGCATTTTTATAACCTGAAAATAAATAATATTTTTATTTAAAAAAAAAAGTAAAGAAAAGAGCAATTTTTATTAACAAATAACTCGCATAGAGAAACGCCTGGTAATTACGCACCAACCCAATATATACATTCGTTGTGTTTTCTTAGTGTAAAAAGGTGACACTTTTTCGTTCTCTTTCTGATGTGCTTAATCGATAATATAAAGAAAAAATTCTTCAGATTAAGAATTTCAATCAATTAAAAAGTTTCTCTTTGACATTTTAAGAAACCACGTCGCATGAATACACACACACACACACACACACATACACACACACACACACACACATATATATATGTATATACAATTAAACATCATACAAAAAGTAAATAATTAAAGTTAATGATATAAAATGGCGAAATTTTAAAATTTTAAAGATGCATTAATCTACCAATCACTCGATTAATGTTATGATCCTTGTTTTTTAAAATTATAAGGTCTTTCTTAAATACGCAAGTACTTTCGACTGTACATTCAGTCATCTTCAGGCATGGAAATTATTGACACACACATATATATATATATATGACCACCATGAAAAGACAAAATTTTATTACCACTTCACGTAAGGAAATGTAATGGATTCGACTGGAATTCGAACTCGGCTATCCGATTCCTCAATCCAAGCCGCTATCCATTACTACACCGTGCCTCCTTAATATAGTCTTAGGAATACATACAAAACACTCATAGATTGATTTAATAAAGTATTAACAGTTTATAATATTTCGAAGTTCATCTACAGCATTGTAAGAACACAATTACTGGAAGTGGTCCTCATTTAAAAAAGAAAAGTTTGAAGGAATAATGACGTATAGAATAGAACGGGATCAAATCTGTTCAATATTTTCTCTTGGGTATTCATTGCAAAAGATATAAATTCTAGAAGTGTTTAATTCTTTAAAATTTAATAATTACTATTCTACTTATATCTTGCTTGATTTGAGATCGTTTTCATAGACTTTTAATTACTTAGTGTGAAGATCGCTTTTACCAAGAGTAAATAGAGTACATATGAATTATGATAATTTACGTCTATTTAGATGTATCATACAAATGGAGGCAATTATAAATCAGTGCGTATCAAATTTAGCATGTTTCTCATTTACGAATGAAATTGTTTTGTGTAGAAATTTAGTAATCATTTCAGAAAACTGAACAACAAATTAAAAAAAATTAAAAACTTCAGGCTTTTCAGAAGTGAGATAATTTTTTTTTTTATATTCATTATCATATATATATATATATATATATATATATATATATATAG